TAAACACCATGAACCTTCAAGTATGTATGTATATGCGTATCCCCAGCAGCCCTTTGTTTCCTTTTCATTTTCCGCTTTGTTTTCTACTCGCGAACCCTAGACCGTGAACCTCAACGCTAAAACGGGGCCTGGACCATGGTCGCTTGGTTTACCGGGCTGCCCTGGCATCTTCCGGTTCAGAGCATAGGGTATAACCCCCATATTATAATATGTTGGAAGTGGGTATAACCCCCATATTATAATATGTTGGAAGTACTGAATATCAGGGGGCATGGGGGGTTAAATATCAGGGGGAAGGGGTTAGAGGTTAAGGTACAAGATCCGGGACATCTGTTTAAAAGAGTTTGTAAATATCCATGTGTATATCTCTTGTTTCTTTTGCTGCGAATGGAAGGTTTTCTTGCAGCCCTGTATTAAGGAATGTGTGTGCGTGTTCATTTGGGGATGTACGCAAGGCCCGCATCTGGAGGATGCGCTTCTTTGGGATCATACCTGTCCTCCAAGACTCTGCGCCCTAAAAAAGCTCAAAACCCCTAGACTCTGAACCGTAAACTTACTGGGGGTAAGTAGCAAGGAATACGGGCAATTATATACAGAGGTTATATCTCTGAACCCCAAATCCTAAAAACGTGAAAGCTGCCACGTCGGGAAACAAGAAGATTTGGGGTGTAGGGAGACTACCGACCAATACAGGTAGGCTTAGAACCCTACGTGCGATTCCCTGGCTAGCCACAAGATAGGTCGCCCCAATACACAGCAACAATTGCAACACATGTTAGAAACCGAATCCTGAACCCTATACCTGAGGAGGACCCCCCCACCCTGTAATAGTGGTATAATGGGAATATAAGAAGACCCCTAATATAATCCCTATTATGCCTTTTAGTCACTATTACTGGGTGGGGTGTCCACTTAACCTATACCCTAAACCACTCTTGCTAGACGTCATTACTAGCCAAGGCCTCCTCTAAAGTTCTTTTTGGGTTTGGTCGATTTTGGATGTTTTTGCTAACGGTTTCTCACAGACCCTGCACTTGGAAACTACATCTACCGGCATCCTAAACCCTAAACCCGAAACAATAGGCCCTAAACCATAAGCCCTGAGATCTTCCAAGCGGGGTCTAGCTATGCTTGGTCGATTTGGCTTACCCAGAGGGTCCAAGTACACAATGATTAGGTCCCTTTACTGGGGATATATAGGGGTATATAGGGATATATAGGGTTTAGGGTCCAAGTACCCAACAATTAGGTAGTTGTGTTTGGGGTAATAGTAATTTTAATACAGTTTTCGGGTAAGTATATGATTATTGGGTGCTTGGACCCTTAGGGTTAATGGGATGGATCCAGCATTCTTGTGCATCATGTTCTAAATCAAGTGCAGGTATGAAACAAATCTTGAACCCTAAACTCTAAACTCTAAACCCTAGACCCCTAAACCCTAAACCCCTAAACCCTAAACCCTAAACCCTTAACCCCTAAACCCTAAAACCATGAGCTCTACACTTCAAACTTCTTGGCTCATTCCCTATGGTGGCCGCAAGATAGGCGGTTTAGGGTTTAGGGTTTAGGGTAGAACAATCTGCAAGTCACGAAGGTTCGGCTTCCCGCGTGGGAATTTCAGGCACGCAGAGATGCGGACCTAACCTTAAACCGCCTACATTCCCCCTTAAGTAGATAGAATATGGGGTAACATCGGGATCTTATTATATTTTTATCCAAAGCCATATTCTATCTACTTAAGGGGGACTATAAACCCCTAAATAATAGCTTTTCATGTTTCCATAATCCCCATATAACCTACTAGTAGACACTTGTTTATGGTTCAGGGTCTCTCAGGAGTCTAGGGTTTGAAGGCAACAGACAGCAGTGTAGACAATGGAATTCTCCTCGTACTTGCAGGTTCATGGGATTCTTGAAGCCGTGCCTCTAAGTGAGATACATCTCTTGGTGCTTTTTGATTGTTGTTGCCCGTAAGCCTCCAGGCGCACCTTCAGCCAAAGTTCCTAAAACAAAAACCCGAAAACATCATGGTTGACACGATTGTGCCCATGTGTCTCATGGGTATGACTGTTGAGGAGTAGTTCCTGTACCATGCTAAGTTCCAAGACCGCGGGGTGCTTTCCCATATACCTGGGTGTTAACCCTAGTTACCAAGTCCCATGAACCTCCAGGTAGGGGCTAGCGGCTAGCCTGAGGATTCATGATACTTCTGCGGCTTCGTACCTGACTCTGGTGCATCAGGAAAGCATGCTCAACTTCTTGAAGCCGCACTGCGTTCCATTTTTGGCCACTTAAACTTGCATGAGCCGAGAACAATGGATCCGAACCTGAAAAACCTTTCTTCTTTGTACCGCCCGGAAACCGCAAACACCCAACACTTAAGCCTCGCCTGAAGCCAACACTCTAGACCGACTCTCGCGGACCCGCAGCCCATCAGAAAGCCCAGTATCCCTGAATTAAACCATATACCGTAAATCATGTTTTCTGGGCCATCACCATTCAGGAAGAGGCATGCTTCGATGTTCTCAGAACAGGTCCAACCCATGGCCCCCTGAGAGCGTGAATGAACAATGATTCTGTAATCACGAGCTTGAAAATCAAAGCAATGAGCAATCAGGAATAGCCCCTCAACCCTAAACCCTACGCAGCTGGCCCCAAGTTCTAATTTGGCTGTCCTTCGCCAGTGTGTTGAGAGCCACGTAGGTGTTCATTTGCGCTGGGTACGCTTGGTCGATGTTGAAGTTGAAGGCTGACCAGTGACAGGGTCCGGTTGTTTAGGTTTTAGGGCTCAGGATCTAGGGTTTTGGATTTAGGGGTTTTGGATTTAGGATGTAGGGCTTAGGGTCCCGGTGAGTGGGCTTGCAGTCCGATTCTAGACTTTTCTGGGTTGTGGTTACGGAACTTACTTAGCACACTAAGTTACACAGTAAGAATCTATGGTGGCCATGAACCGAATATCTCCCCCAGATACCTGCCCAAAGAATGAAGCTTGGGACGGTTGCGACAACTTGCACGGCCCCTCTCTTTGCGCTGAATGGAGCTCTGAACTTTCCTCAAACATGTTTCAATTGCCCACATGTAGTAGGTCCCCGTCGGCATGACAAGTTGATACAGGAACTCTTAGGAATGCCCCTCCATATCCTCCATTATTTCGACGTAAGTCCCAACCAATACAGTTGAGCATACAAATCTATGGACAGGACATGTGTACATAAACAGAAAATTGAATCTTGGGGATCTTTATCAGTGTGAACTATGAGATCTTGAGCTTCATGTACGGATTCCGTGGTGCCGTGCGGCCTCCATGCTCGAAGTGCTTCATCTCCACTGGAGACATTGCCTTTATAGGGTCGAGGTTTAGGGTGTTGGGTTTTGGTTATTCGCGAAGCCTGCAACGTGGAAACAGGGCACATACATCCAGGTCTTGCATCACAAAAACCCATGAGTCAGATTTGGACGAGGGTGCATAAAAACGCAGCGTGGTTTACGCATGATGAAACGTGCCCAAAGTCAAGGAAACAGAATGTGAAGGGTTTTTGTGTAACAAGGTCTCAAGTTCAAGCCTTAAGGTTTTGGCTGAAGAACAAAATTTAAAATGACATCCCCAGCCCACTTCAGGATCTGCAGTTCACCTTTTTGATGATATTTAAACCATTGTCTCTTTGAATCCCGAACATAAAGAAAAAAGTCACTGCCATCGCGTTTTGCGAGCATAGGCGACGAAAATCTTCGTTTCTTCATCTAGCCCTTTATGGTCGCTCACACGATCTCACATGGACACTGCACCTCGCAATGCTGCATCAAAAAGATCGAGTAAAATTCTGAGTGGCGTGCAACTCTGACACTTTATCCACCGACAACGAAATCATTGCTTCCGGATCGGCCCTTACAGAACATCCAAGCACATGGCAACCGGGGCAGCCACAAAAACCTTATAGACATAACTAGACACATACCCTAAGGATCCAAGTATAATATAGATAATACCTACATTGGGCCCCAAAGTCTGTAAATATTACCTACATTGGGCTATTTGGATCCCTAGGGATAGAGCGAAGCATTGAGCCTACTGCAGGATGAGCAGTTGATACGCTTGCACTGTTGTTGTCGTGATGTCTTAGTTTATTTGATGTCTAATCCGGATTTTATCGCCCATTTTTCTTTCCACTCCTCTTTCCCGCTCTTTGTGTTCTAGGAGGGCTCCTGCTCAATCAAAAGCACAGATTAATCACATTTATGTCTCCTTGTGCAAAGGTTTATGTTTGGGCCCAGCTGCGAAAATGCTTCATGAGGCTGCACAATGATGCCTATTGAGCCCAGAGCTCTGTCTCCAATCCCTACAGGTGGAAAGGGTAACAAGCCACCGCTGCTGCAAACGATGCCTGCGAAGGCCAAATAGAACTTTTGGAATTTGCATGGACCCCCATAAACTTTCTCCCTCCAACAGCGTGTTGGATGTTCAGCTGGAGGCCCGGCCCCTTTCCAAACAAACACGTTGCTAGCCTAAAATCCCAAAGCAGGCAAAGCCTGCCAACATAGTAGAGCGCCCAAATGCAGTTGTATGGGCGGGCCCCGAAAGGGCAAACTCAAAGCCGGGCACAATTCGAGTGCGGGGTTGAGGTTTACTCACTGCTGCAGCGTTTGCAATATGGCCAACACATTGACAAATAACATGGAAGGAAGGAAAGAATGGACCTGTGACTTACGGTCACGGCCTCCCACACTTTTCGCGCTGAGCATTGCAGGAGACCTCCGCAAGCGTCATCGGCCCCCTCCGCCAGAGGTCCCAGAGGGGGCTGAATCTAGAGTCAAGTCACACCGGCCCCGCAGTTGGCGCGAAGAGCGTTTCAGCTGGAATGGGTAAGCAGATGCGCGAGGAATTGCAAAGATGCAGCGACTGATCATTTTGTTTTCACTGAGCTGTGGGCGCAAGAAGCAAAGGCTGAACAGAAAAAGCCGGTCCTGGACATTTTCAAGCAGGAGGCACCTGCTGGCTTGCTGGCCTCGGCACGCGCAAGAGGCAAAGCCTAGCACCTTGCATTGCAGCTCGTCCCCCACGCCTGTGCCACACGCCGTCGGTGTGCGGCTGCCGCGCGCAGATTGCGCTATGGCCACGAGATAGGTCAATAGGCCAGCGCAGGGAGGAGATGGCGGCCACAAGCAGGAAGGCAGGAGCAACTCCAAAAAAGAATTGGCGAAGCACGCGTCCGGCTGGGACGCATATGGCCATGGGTGAGGGGTACCCGCCTTTGCACTTTCTGCGGGTACTCAATCAGTACCTGACCTGAGTAATGTTTGTCGGCGGGCACATCGCTGGAAGAAAAGGAAAGCACGTGGTCGGCAGCAAACGATAGGCAAGCCTCATTCCCCAAAAACAACACAGCGACAGCTGAACGAGGAGAGCCCAGGTGGAATTGCAGCGAAATGGGAAGCGGCAGCAGCGGAGGCACCGGGAAGCGCTTAGTTGAGAAGGCCTGATGGAGCGAAGGTGGAGCTGCGGCAAGATGGTAAGCGGCGGGACTTGCCGGGCTGCAGAAGGCCAATAGAACGCAACACTGGCATAATATTGCTCTGCCGACGCCGCACATCCAAACAGATTTCTCTCGGATATGGGCGCACTCTTTCTTTGCGCTGCTACACTCCGTTTTCCTCAATTCTCGGGAGCCACTGGCTGTTTCATAACAACCGAAGCTTCCCCTCACTGACGGCATCGTCTCCTGCGAAGACCAACCTCTGCCTCCCTTTCGGCATAATTGCCGAACATGAAACTTTGGTACATGATGGAAAAAGTATTTGTCATTATGAAGTGGAAGGGTTCAGTATGAGGGGAGGGGATTTTTAGACTCCGACCAAACCCTGAGGTTCCAGGTACCTAAATGGGATGTAATTTGGGCCCATTAAATTGAATGGGTTCCTATTTCGACGCTTTGGGCCAAAACTTTACCTTTGAGGGAAGTGAAGAAGCCCGAAGCTCTGAACCCTAAACCCTAACGGCTGTCAAGGTACAACCCGGAGCAAAGCATCCACGAAGCCCTGTTCAGTGGCCTGCTCCTCGAATTGTGATGGGTTCCCCTCTTACTTGGCACTAGTAGGGAAAAAGGGAATATATTATCTGTGGATTAACTGTGGATCATATTCCCGTATTCGAATCCCTACTAAAAACCAGTAAACCTTAGCCACCGCCCCCTATACTACCCCCTTCTGGGTTCCCCCTTACTCAAGCTTGCTTATGGCTGGCTACGGCAAATTAATTAAGCTCAAGGCTAGCTTAGGGGGAAGCAGGGGGGGACAGTATATAGGGGAGTATTGGAACCCATGACATACAGTCGAGTATACGCGGGCACACCCAAAGGATCAAGGCATCCGAAAAATCAGCAGGTGCCGCTTTGGTGCATATTTCCAGGCCGTGTTGTTTGGGTAATGGCACTTGGGCACCTGGACCCCTTGGGGCGGAGTCTATAGTCAGGGTCATTCTCTAGGATGTGAGTGAGTGCCTGCTTGAGGGCCTGAGGGCTTTAAGTGGTAAAGGCTTTAGGGCAGCGGCTTGACTTGTTGCACGTACATTTAATGGACCACTATTAGTTCAGATTCTCCTGCCTACCCGGCTAGAACGTGAAATGCCTGCTTACCATCTTTTCTTGCTTCTAGCAAACCCTAAACCACTTGCCCTTCAGCTTTCAAGCTTGATAAGGCGAGCTGCGAATCCATGATTTGAAGCGTATGCCAAGTTTTGCATGGTCTCGAGGGCTTAGTGGCCCCTGTTGTTGTCTCATAAGGGTCCCTATACCAAGTCAAGGCTGGCACATCCTGCAAAGTTATGACTTTACTCGCAAGCTGAAAAAGGCGTAGGGGGTAGAGCTTCAAGGAAAATATCAGTGCAAATGCCGGGGATTACTTGTCTAGAACCTCGTAATTAAGCCTGAGCTGCCATGTTCCCATCTGCCAAACTAAACCCTAAACCCTATATCCTAGACCCAAAGCCCTATAAGCCCTACATTAGACAGAAATCTCCCTGAGCAACAAAGGTTCCCGACAGGGAGTAAGAAACAAATCCAGCGAAGGTTTACCCAAGGTGAACCCTCTGCAAACACAACACCCAGAGGGTCCAAGTACCCAATAATTGGGTACTTGGGATTTGGGTAATAGTAATTATATAGTATTGGTTTTGGGTAAGTATATGATTTTTAGGTACTTGGACCCTTAGGGTTACCCAATTCCGCGCCCCTCCGCCAGCACAACCCTAAAAACTACAGAAACACTTAGTCCTAAACTCTGAGTCCTGAGCCCTGAGTCCCCCCACCCAGTAGGGAAGTTCAAAATAATAGCAACAGTATCTGTAATTGAAGTTTAGGGTTTGGGGTTGTGAGTTTAAGGTCCCTAATCGCGCTAGAAAAATAGCAGCATCAGTATTACCTTTAGTACTGGTGATATCCTACACCTCGAACCCTAAGTAATCACCTCTCCGAACATTATTAGAACCCTTTCTCTCCCCCCCAACTCCCCCCCACCCCCGTTAAAAAAAAAAAAAAAAATAATGTTCCCAGTGCGGCATGCTATAATATATTGGAAATAGTTAACGTTAGGGAAGGGGAGCTTCAATACTAGGAGGAGGGTATTACCCCAAACACCAAACCCTACCTAGACTCCCAAGTACTCTCTACGGAACCCAGAACCCCCGAACGATGGCTATTTCAGGGCAGTTGGGCAGGTCTTTGCAATAGTAATGGCCCAACACCCAGGGCTAGGAGGCCCGAGCTTAACAAATCCTGAGGTTTAGGGTTTTAGGGTTTAGGGTTTAGTCTGGAACTGAGGGTCTTTCCAATCCTGCAAGCTGTTTTAGGGCTTATGGGGTTCACCACCACGAAGCAGGGGCCATCACTATGCCGATGTGGTGCGGTATAGGCAGAAACAGGGAACCCATAATCACCCAACACGTCCATGAACGCTAGCCCCACACCCTGCAATTAGGCCTGCAATTAGCCCCACCCCTTCCTCGAAGGAGGACCCCCCAACCTCCTCCCAGGGAGCCCAACACCCCCTTAATCAAGGAATATACCTTAAATCATATTAGATCCTAATCGTATTTAAGGTATACTCCTGATTTCAGTGGGAATGGGCCCTCTAGGCTAAGGGCAGAATGCAACCGCCTGGATCTTCGCATTGTATGCAATCTCGCGCGCGATGCCCTCCGGAGAGCCCTGTGAGTATCATGGGCTCTCCTACGGTTGCTAGGTTCCCCCTTAATTTAGGTTACTTAAGGATAATTAGTCCTGATTGAAATTAATGAAGGGGGGACCAAGGGGGGGTAGTATGGGGGGAGTAGTAGGGGAACCCATGACAGTATCAGGTTGTGTCTTACCAGGTTCTAGATCGGACTCAGGGTTAGGGCCCTAAACCCTAAACCCTAAACCCAAGTTAGGGCTTAACCCTACACCATTAACCCAAATCTGAATCCATCATCCTTTGGATGCATAAGCTTTATAGAGCCTAAGCCCTAGATATTGCATCCTGAACCCTAATACTTTGGGCCCCCACCCTGTAACAATACTATACCAGGGCTCATATTAAAGGCTATACAGAACTGTAACCCAGACCCCTGATTCATAAACCCCCTCCAAGTGAACGGGATTATGATAGGGATCCTAGTATTTAGGCCCCTAAAAGGAGGGGCTTTACTAATCATGGGTCTAAATTGTTGATACTCTTCAACCCTAAACCCTAACCCTAAACCCTAAACTACTGCGAGACCTAGCCTCTACTAACGTGCGGGGGAGACTCGAAGCTGAGGGTGAGCGCCTAAACCAACATGGAAGCTCACCCTAGATGGAGGGTCTCCCAAGATTAGGGGTACCTTTTTGGGGCCCATAGCAGGGATTATGAAATATTGGGGTCTATACTGGGGTCCCCTTATGTGGGGAAACCACCAAATCCTTTCTGGCAGGACAAAACTCCTTGAAAGGGGAGCTTGAGAGACTTGATGAGCCTTCACCCTGAAAAATTCTTCGCTCTAATCCTCACACGAAAATTATACCCCAACCCTCAACGCCGGGTTTTTTCAGCAAGCGCAGGGGGAGGGCTGCGAAAAACACTCGGCAGGGATGTGGACAGGCTCTCAAAATGGCCATTGAGGCGTTCGCGTACATGGAAGCTTCCAAAATTGGATGGGTCATTGTTTAGGGGTCCTGAAGGCTGGGAGTGTAGCTATATTGAGACATGTATAGGAGTAGCTTATGACGATGTTTTTAGACACCAGGACTTCCATACACATAAAGAGAAACACAGCGCACTACCTCCGCGGCAGATCAAACTTCAAAACATCCAGAAGCTTGCCTTTGGTTAGAACGGATCCTTATAGTAGTGCCTACATAACCCATTATAGTAGCTTCCATTTCCTTTTCCATTCCTTCATTTCCAGCTAACCAAAGGTAAGGAAGCTGGCCATTAAGGCTCTAGGGGCTAGAAGTTTGGATTTCGACGGCTGCAAACATGAAAAGTTGGAGGTTTGGGGCCGCTGGAAGATGGTTGGAGGAGAAGGTTGGAAAGTTGAAGGTTTAGGGCTTAGGGCTTAGGTTTAGGGCTTAGGCTTTGGGGTTTAGGGCTTTGGGTTTAGGGTTGGGGTTGGGGTTTGCAGCGTTGGAGCGTTGAGGGTTTGCGGGTTGGAGCCTCCAACCCTGGAATCTGGGCCGCCCACATATCTGGGAATTGACGCTGTCAGTCCTATTCTATGACATACTTATAGGGGTATGTAGGGGTTATAGGGTTATGTAGGGGCATATACAGGTTTATATAAAGGCAAACCCTAGACCATTCTAGACCCCAAACGATCATCGATGCCAAAATCCGCAGTAAGGCCTCCCAAGCAGGCCCGATGAGGTATATCGTACTTTCGGCGATGAGGCTGACAGCACCCCTGTCGAAGTACCGTGTGTCAAGCACCTCTGGCAGGGGTCTCTATTGGTTGTATGAAGTCAAGATCATGAACCCTAAGCCCCTAAACAATAAAGCAAGGGACACATTAAACAAAAACATGCGCACATACGTGTGTAGGTGTAAATGTGCATATACACATACAGATATAAGTATGTGGCTGTGCATATGTCTAAACACACATCTTTCAGAGAGATTGCTATGGTTTATGGCAGTATTCACGGAATTTTCAGGTCAAGATTTTCAGGTCAAGAAAGCCTAAACCCTAAAACATGTCTTCCGGGACTGCTTTAGCATGCATGCTTCACTGGTGCTTGTTGGGGGATCACGTGCGAGGGATACGAGGGGGAAATTTCTACACCACAAGCGCAATAGGTTTTGGGTTGAGGGTCTCCGGATCTACAAGAGGATCTAGATACTCTGAAGCCCCATCGGGATCAATTGCCTTTCCTAAGCACCAGTTACGTGGACATTCAAGGTCCAGGGTTTAGGGTCTAGGGTTCAGGGTGTAGGTGTGAGCAAGTCTTGGTTGAATCCAGTTGTCTGAAAACAGAATGCCCTGGAAGCTTAACCGTAGTTGCCCAGTTCCGTAAAGCCAAACACGTTTGCACAACTTCGTATTCAGAATAGCAGAATTATGGGAAGCCCAAAATTGTAGTGTGTGTACCTACTTAGCATCGGGATAATAAAGCTTGTATAAGGAGAATCGGAAGTAAGCCCTGCCCTCCCACCCTCCACAAACAAACATTGAAACTGATATGCTCCGCTGTCTGAGGGACAGTAGTCTTTTGTAGTGCAGTCTTTGTAGGAGCTGTTACCCTAAGGGTCCAAGTACCTAATAATCCTATACTTCCCCAAAACCTGTACTACAATTACTATTACCCAAATCCCAAGTACCTAATTATATGGTACATGGACCCTCTGGGTTAAGTCTGGGGGATGCACACCCCGAACTCTAAACTCTTGCTGTGCCTGACGTCCTAGGGATGCATTTTCAGCACACTGAATCCCAGGACCTTCCTTGTACCCTTAATTGGGGATATATGGTCCCTAATAGTGGGTACTTAGGCCCTAATAGAGGGTAGGAGGAGGGTCTAGGTCACAGAACGCCCTGACTTTAAATCATAAAACCTAAACCCTAAACCGAAAGCCACATTCTATCTACTTAAGACTATAGTCCATAGTAAACAATGAGGTTCCCTAAGGGCCCAAGGATCCAAAGGAATCAACTTTAGGGCTTCAGGGCCGAAATGCTGTAATCGGAATGGTAGTTGGGACCTCCAGCCCTCCTTGGACCTTGAGGGACATTCATGACATGAGTAGTGTTTTTTTGGTGGTTGAACCCAGAAAGACTATATAAAATACTATACCCCAAAAGGAGGATAAAAAATACTCTATATTGGGTACCAGAGTATCCCCAAATTAAATACTACTCACATGACTTCACTCCCTAAGCCCTTAACCCTAAACCACGTTTACTGCGGTCAGGCTTAGGTTCGCCCTAGGTTCTAGCATCTTTATCGTTTTTTTCTCTGGGTTTCTGGCGGCTTCAGGATCCGGACGGACTGGGTGCCGCAATTACCAACAGTTTTATATTAATGGGTTATACCTACAAATTCGGGGGTAACCGCGGTTTGGGGTTCCTGGATTCGGATCTGTAGGTAATTGGCGTTGCAGCTAGTTAGTGGATCCGCCTCAAAGTAGCTGGTACGGGGCCACCAAGTTACTAGAACATGCTGAAACCCTAAACCCTAGACCCTAAACCGTCTGTCTCTTTTGCAGAATCAGTACCAAGGGCACATACGAGGCTTCACTACAAGCACAGACTGGACCATACTTCAAGATCCAAACCCTAAACCCTAAACCCTACCTGGACCCCAAAAGTCTGTAGAATAATGGCCTTTATGGCTGTTAATATGGGTTTAGGGCTATTATTTTGCATACTTTTAGGGTCTAGGTAACCCTAAGCCACACGTCCTGCTGCAGTTGCAAGCCTCGAGCACCCCTTTCGGAATGCGCCGCTAGAAGTGGGCAATGCTAATCACTATGAATGAATCCCTAAACTCGATACCTGATTGGTTCTCAGTAGGGAATAAGGGTAACAAGGGAAGCTATTAAATAGATGTTATTATATAGGGATAATATTCCCCTATTCCCTACTAAGAGCCAGTAAGCTAATTATTACAGACAAGGGGCATGCGCGAGGGCCTTGAAGAGCCCTTCGTTTGCCATGACGTGCCGGTAGTCGTCCGAATAAGCCCTGCTTGGAAGGAGTCCGGGTTGCAACTTAGACTAGGCTAGGGGTAATATAGTGCGTAATATAAGGGGAAGATAAAGTCTAGTATAGGGATAGTGCAAAAGAAATTTGAAACAACTATTTAAGGGTATTAAGATCAATTACCATGATTTGGGTCTATAGTATCCAATAACGTTCCCTAAGGGCCCAAGGACCCAAATAATGGGATTTGAGGGCCCAAATACCAATGATATTTTGGTATTTGGGCCCAAAAACCCTCTTAGTTGGGTCCTTGGACCCTTGGGGTAAGGTTGCCTTATTTGAGTAACTTAATTTAAGTTCCTCAAAAGCAACCCAGGAGTGCCAGACCAAGGTCACGAGGACTTAGGATTTTCCGGCTGCAGGAAAACGTCAGGGGTACGTCTAGGGAGCTAAGAAGAACTATGCGTGCTTCTGCAAATAACTTGCATACAATGCAACCTAAGTCACGTGGGATCCCAAAAGTGCAGGTCCAACCCCCCATAGTCTAAACTCTTCATCGATGTCAGAGGCAGGTTTGGTGCTGCTGGGTCAACGTCCAAGGCTTCAGCTTCAGGTCCCGACCTTCATGTGAGCTATAGTCTACACCCCTGCTATCCCCCTTAATAAGCCCCATAGTATTCTCCTATGTAATCCCTATATAACTATTCTGTAAGGAGTTTCGACTATAGCTCATCTAGCGTCAGCTAAGAAACTTCTAACCCTTACTCCTGGAGAACCCATCGTGTAGCCAACTCCTAGTGACCTTCACGTGGGACATGGTGTTCCCATGGTGTGTGGTTCAGGGTTTAGAGCGAAACCCTAATTAAGGCCTATAACCCCAGTGCTAAGCCCTGAACCCTCCGGCAACCTGGTAATCCGTTTCAAGTACCTTCTCTAACCCCTTGGGATGTCACGAACCCCCGCAGGCTTAAGTCCGTTCAGAGAAAAGGTTTAGCAACCAATATCTTAACCGAGCCCCTGATCATAATCTGGATGGAGGACGTCCTTGTAGCTACTAGCTTTGCTGGGATGCGGAATGCTTGGACTTTTCCGAAAATTAGAGGTCCCCTTCGGGGGGTTCACATTCAGGTCTGTAGCATTTGGGGATCAATATCAGTGTCCCGCCATTTATGGAAACTACCACTCAGGGTGGTACAGAATTTCCTCCAAGAACAGTAAATTCTGCTGAGGTGCGTCAAGGCCTTGACCACCTGAAGACTCCTGGGTTTTGGCCCTAAACCCTAAACCCTATTCACATTCTTTGGAGCCCTGATGGAGATGAGAGTTTGAGCTGATTGTTAGCATGATAGATAATAAAGGGACTCTACTGGGAACCCCAAACCGGGAACCTCAAGAATATAGTAGGTATATAATAGGAATATACCTACCAGGGTCCTTATATTCCATTATATTCCTGCTGTATTCTTGGGGTTCCCTATTTGGGGTTCCCAGTAGAGTCCCTTTAGATAACAGAAATGTCAAAACATGTTCAGGAAGAGCAGGTTTGTGGGTCCAGGAGGACTTTGGGGACAGATGCCAAAGTTGCAACATCAGGAAGTGTTCATAAAGAGGGGCCCGAATACAGCGCCTAATATACCACAGTCATTACCGTACCGACCTCCAAATAAGACCTCCAAATTAGGGACCGCCCACTTTTTTGGAAACCCGCCCATATGAAGTTTATATAAGTTTATGGAGGGCTTGGTAGGTGCTAACCCCCAAACGACCAGAATGCTTGTAACACTTACCGACCTAGACCTCCCAAATGCCTGGCGTTTACACATATTGACTGCAGCGAAGGCCATAAGACCCTCCTAGCACGCTTGATTGGGTTATATGGCCCCTGATGGTGGGTACTGAAGCCTGACTAGAGGATAGTTGGAGGGTCGAGGTATGGGAGGTCTAGCTAGCTATCCACCTATGCTAAACGCCTCTCAGTAGCCATAGGAAGGTCAAGTGCTCAACACTTTAAACTAAAGAACCGGAATGCAATCTTGAACTCCTTGTGTTTCATCCTGTTCCTGACTTGCTTGCTGAGCCCACTGACTCCAAGGTCTAAGTTTTAAACCCTACATCGACCCTAAACCCTAAACCCTAAACCCTATACGGTTTTCAAAGCTCTCCAAAACCCTAAGGGTCCAAGGACTCAAATAATGGGGCTTTAGGGCCCAACTA